TGCCAAATACAAAGTCGAAATGTAAAACAACTTGCGTGCTCATTGGTTAGTTAAGTAAATGTATCTTCGAACTACCAATCAGATTTTATTTTTTTAAGTAAACTGACGACATCTATAGATGCCTCTTACGTTTTGTCAAATTGAATGACGCTGCACCTGTGATTTCGTTGTTATTTAGTTTCTATATATATTCCGAAGTTTGAATTTATGTACCCTGTCGGAATGGTGTATTCTACCACTTCTCCTCGAAACAAAATGAAATTGATTTCAAGAAATCAATATCACAAAATGAAATTTGATAGATACCATAATATGTATGAAGGCACAGTAACCACTTCGCACTAATACTAGAAACTAAATAAAATCAATTGTGATGTCAATATTATTTGAAAATAAATATAGCTTAATCATTCAAATACCATTTCACAAGAATGTTTATGCTATGAAGGTGAAAATAGAAGTTTAAATCATTCTATGTTCCTAGAATCAATTTTACTGTGAACTCAACAGGTATGGGATAATGTTCTAAACGTTTTACACTAGTAACGCCCTTCGTCACACAAGTATTGTGGATTCCCTAAATATTTCCTTCGTAATTGTTATATATGTTTTATTTTGTAAACAAATATATGTAAATGTTATCTGCGGCAAGCTGGCCACTTTCAATAGGGAAACCTACTTATGTTTTTCTTTTGTTTTAATTCACACGATAAAAAATTATATTGCATTATATATTGAAAATATATAACAGTATAAGTAAACTTTTTTATTTACATAAACTAAGCATAATTACTCAAGTCCCTCTCACATGTATATACTCTATATACCTACTCTCACTGTATATTACATATCCGACATTATACTTACTAGTCAAGTTGCTTGATCAGGTTTTACGCATGGATTAGTGTAGTACCTAATCGCACGTGTACATACAACACCCTGTATATAACATGAACATGAGCAAAACCTCACCCGTGTACGTGTACCTTGTACATACCAATGTCTATAAGGGTCTGTTCAATATAGAGTTAGCACATTGCTACGGGAATGGGAACTATTCCGATATTCCCGAGGTTAACACCGGAATGCGGAGGTTCTAAATAGAGGTGACCAATCAGCAACCGCTTAGATGTACGTCTGTACATGGGCTCCGGCATTAACGAGATACGTAACTGTTACTAAAGTGGCTGTGCATGACTCCGTAACCGGCTTTGTTATACGAATATGTCAATATTCTATTGTATTAACCCCTATACAATTCCATTACTCAAATTCAATAACTACATCACACAGCTTTAGACACCAGATAAATGTGTGTGACACGCATAAATCACTCGATTCCAAAAATATCACCCCCGAACTCGACAACTAATTCGACTTCTGTCTTACACTCCGGTTCTCCTAACCTGATCACATATCTAATTTGGCAAAACATTTCGAATACCAATACGTATAGATTTTATTCTTATTAACCCAAAGACTCGAATAACCGTCTCGATATTGTATTGGCGCGTAATTCCGCAGAAAGGTGTTGAATGACCGTACGCGCGAGCCACCAGCAACAAAAACTTAATAGTCGTGAGGGAGCCAAACACTCAACACGTTCGCACTGCAAACATCACCGACTTGGGTAATTTCGCTCAACGGGAAAGTCACAAGAGGGTCCACTCCTCGCACACTTCCATTTCGAAAATAAATGAGTTAATCAAAATAGAACGAGGTCTATGCGAAGAAAATAAAGTAAGACAAATAGGTGCGATTCAACGCATCAACTCCATTTTACGCATCGTTCGTTTGTTGCTTGCTCGCTGGAGTGCCGCCGTCTAGGTGACTGAGCTACGCTTAACATTCAGCCCCAGCTAGTATCTCTAACGTGTTAGATATATTTCCCGTGACTGTGTGTGCTAATAAACTTATTTTCTCTGAGACGACAAAGGTCTTACCAGCGTTATCGCCTGGGAATAAAGTACTAACGAAACTCAAGTTGACTTTTATCAGACAATCGAGTTATACCCTGAAGTCAGGTCAAGTACGAGATAAGTTAGGGCGGCGGGCGTTTAGTCTCCGCTCTACGTATATTTTTTCTTTGCGAGATAATGTAAAGCGATTAAATAACTTTAAATTGAACCTCGTTCATTTCGAAGCAGATTCAATATCGTTAGATCGGGCTTAGGTATTAGAAAATGAGATTGAATATCGATATATAGAATATGGTTGAAGTAATTTGATGTAACATAAAGTACTATCAATCATATTGTGAGCGGCGGCGCGCGCACTGTTCCACACCGCTGCCACTGCTGCCGACGCCTGGAGACGATCATTCATCACACTTCGACCTCTCTTAAGTGCTTTAGTGCACTATAATCAACTCCTTATATCGGCATTTTGTTAAGTACACTCTGCATCATCATAATTAGTAGGCAAATGAACTCCGATAACGTAAACTGCGCGAATTGATTATTCCAGGTTCATATATTAACCTCAGCGTCGATTCTACGAAAGCAATATTTACGAAAGGAGTGTTTATAGTCAATTTCCTACGTGTTTTAACAATTAAGTTACAAACAAACTGTAATACATATACTAGATAACTTATATTTTCCATTAAGTAAATAGTATGTCGAGGTTTGAGGTCACATTTTTAAACAACAAGGTTAATATTAATAAATAATCTAATTTATATTCAATCGAATAAAGTATGTGTTATTTCAATAGCAAATCTATGCATTGAGTGCAAAATATTCGCTGGCAAAGTAAAACACATGAATTTTTATGATCGTAAACATTTTTCGTTACGACCCGAACTGCGGTCGTTAAAACTCTTATCCATAATCATGTGGGTAGAACAAGGAAAATGTCATTCGTCATGCTTAAAAAGATTAGGTAAGGAGTTCCACTTAGGAGATCGTTAGAAAGTGTAGGAGCCAAGAAAATTAAAGAATTTGCATACGTAGGTACGGATCCACGAACTGTGTTATTGACACTGTTCAAAGCTAAGCACCAGTAGCACCTATATTCAACAAACATGACTTACTTTACTGACAAACATACAGCTTTATAATAGGTACATACATGGTATATAATACTACACAGCAATCCAATACGAAGTTAGCAAGACCTAATTAGTTTCTAAATTAAAATATTATTTGATCTCTACGAAGACACATAGACAAAAGTTTTAACATGAAAATTTCTTCATCTTCTCTGTCTGATGTAACGTAAATATTTACACGACATTAATTAAACAGCTATCTAATAACTTACTCTCCTAACTAGATGTAGGTAAAGGAGAAACTATTAAACGCGACCGCGAATGTTAAACGTGTGAGCGTAGCATTATTAAAATTAATGGCTTTATTAAAGCGGCCGCGCATCAAAATATGTAAACTATGCCGCACTATCCATATGAATGGGCGTGAGCTGCGGCAACGAATATTACGATGAAACCCATATTTGGAGTCGACAGCGGTCGACGTCGGCGCGACGAAGACGAAGCATATTAGGGCCTCACATTCATCCAACCCGGCCCGAATACACGTCTTTATCAAAGACGTTATTAAACCTGCCGCCCCTAGAATACGTAAGCCGGTGAATCGATTTGACTAAATTACCTCAGGACATACAGATTCCGCACGCACTCCGTGTCCACTTCGTCACAGATACTTAGCTCGCAAGATGACGATACGATTTCTTAGCGAACCCCTGAATAGGTCAGAGGGACGTTCCAACACTTTATCGTGAGAGCCATTTCAAAAGATTGAGCGCCAAAAGTATCCATGAAAACATAATATCTCTCAAACTGCTGACTGAGCGTCGAGGCTTTTATAGATTTCACCAAGTGAGAAAATTCGCTTTCTCTGTTTCAAAATTTATTTCACACGCCTCTAACCCAGAAACAGTTCAATAACGGTCCGGCGGATGGGCAAAAGCGCAAGTTCGTTTAATTGCAATTTAGACTAAGCCCAGCGATCGCCACATAAGCTGGCAAACAGAGAGGTCGAGGGTCTGCGGAAGACTCAGATATAGCCGCCGAACCGAGTGCACTCACTGGTATCTAGTTTCGTATAACAAATGGCGGAGCAAACCACTCCACTAAGCTAGTGCTCGCTGCACAAGAACAGTTCGACGATGTCGACCACCACTACCGACGCTTTAAACGTACTTGACATACAGACTTTGATTGCTTTGGTCCATCAAAGCGATTATCCTATTTAAGCTTCCCGCTATCGATACAAAAGACTATAATAAAATATTTGAAACACTAATTTATTCAATAACAATCGTATTTTGTATCCGATGGAATAGCATCAGGTGCAAAATAATTTCATTAGTTTCCGAAAATTGAAATTCAGTACAAATTGTAATCTCCGGACGAAACGTAATATGTAACATATTGACATGTATGTATTTGAATAATGAAACACTCCGATATGAAAACAATGGGTTGAGCTTAAAAGGATTGTATATGGTAGAGGTGACAGGTAATGGGAAAACGCATTAAGCCACCTACGAAGTTGAGCAGCACTGCGCGACTCGTGAAATAAAATGCACTAATGATTGCCGGAGGAACGTGCGGCCCGTAACGACCCTGTATTATTAATTCTATTATATGATTCCTTTGCGCACTAAATATTAGCATACCTAACACGCTCGACTGTATCTTGTGAGACGCGAGCAATGATCAAACATTACGGAGATAACATCTCTCCTTCGATATTCAATATCCGCGCAAACGCAATTATTCACAATCATACAGATCTCCGGAAATTACATTTTTAATGACTACTTTTGTCAATGCAATTATAATAATTACTAGAAAAAAATCAAACCATCAATGTAATCAAATTTTTCGTAACACTAGCTACTGTGATGGAAAATTTCAATAGTACAATATGTATTATGTGTGGAGTACGTCGGTACTGTCCGTGCCGCAAGAGGCAATGCGGTTATTAGTGCATATTCTTATATTTTTCTCGTTAATAATTAAAGGAATAGGCCAAATGGATTCCAACAACTACGTAAGTAGATATAGCACGGCTTATTACTGAATCAGGGGTGAGGTTCGTATTAGCCGGGTAAGATATGTGCCCGAGGAATGTTCACGGACATTTAGTTGAGGCTAGGGAACGGTTTGCCATTAACACATCGGCACGTTTACCTCGCGCGGCGCGATACCGTGGCGTGGCTCCCGGCGTGTGTCGTCCCCGAGCTAACCGCGTGGCTCCCGGTACACCAATATTTTATTTTTCTTGACAGCGCAGGAGCGCGTTAAGCCGACGGTGCGTTAACTGCGTATAAAGCAATTCAGAAGATACGATACCAATATACCGACGCGCAGGTGTATTTTTTCAGATAAAACACAAATTCTTTACTTATCTAAGCTATATTTCTTCAATTTATAAAAAGTACTATTTCAACTACGCTTGGCATTTGTATTTCAAGTCACGTAGACATTTCTTGAAATCAATTACTTAGTTTCATTACAAGTGGTATTTATAAAATTCCGAATATTTGCTTCGTAACCGCTCTTATTCAGCTGCAAACTCAATAAAGTCTTCTATAGGCACCTAGAGTGATAATATCCGTTGGGTGTATTTGTACATCAAAGGTATTGGGATCTTTGGGGTATCAAACAAGCCACTTTATTGGTTTAAGTTTAGAGTTCAAATTCATAAACCCATACAATGACCGTTCATTTTGCCCTAAAGCACCATTTAATTAATACGTTATCAAACTTCAGTACCAAAATACGGATGGATATCATTGATTTAGTCAAGCGTGTCTCTAGTTTTGACAAAGGAATATCCGCCATCCGAACATTTGCTCACCTCACTGATCTATCAATAGTGTAGGTATATCTGTTCACACCTAATTGGATGTCCAAATCACAATTCCTGTTGATTTCTTTCTCTTTGCTTGACTCAACGAACAGATTGAATTTATTAAGAACTAATTTCTTTTGAATATATGCAAATACCAGCCTCAAAAATACTCTTCGTCTATTATTACAAGTTGAAAGTAAATCAAACCCCAGTTGCGACACACCGAAACAATTCAAATTGTCTTCAAAATTCACAAGATAGCCAATAAAGAAAATGTAACTAGAGACCGAGTGGATAATTTTAATTACACCCTTCTGTTAAATTCTAGGGTCCATACCAAATAGAATGGGAAAAGTTTGAAGAATGTAAAGGTCCCAAACAGGGCGAGTGCGGCAAGTTTGAAATCAAGAGTTCACAAAACAAATCCGACGTTGTGTTTCTGTTGGATTTTCCCAAGGATTGCCCGGCTACCTCGGTAGGTGTTTTAATTAAAAATGTTTCATTAAAAAAACTATCCAGTCTATCACATATTTTAGTAACTAATTTCCATTTCAAACAGGCAAAAATTGTGGTTAGCACGATAAACAACAACGTCACAAAAAAGCTGTGGAACTATGCTTTGAACAAGCCCTGCGAACATTTTGTTATGGGGCCCGTTCTCGTGGATTCGTTCAATTTGACTAAGAATTGCAAAGTTAACAAGGTAAGATATTCAGATAAGTATCAACTAATTTCAGAGAAAGGTAGAACACATAAAATTAAATGTCATTTTATGCACAGGGCCAGTACGAGATACACCTTGACTTTTTAGGGAAAACTAAGGTGTTTTTGGGGACAAGTTTCTTTTACGGCCGCTACGCATTCAAGACCATGTCGTATAACAAATTAAACAACTTCTTCTGTGTGTATACATTACTTACCATCAGGAAGGCAGATTAAAATACTATTGCGATTATACCAGTTGTATCAATAATCACATCCCAACATTGCCCAGTTTTTGCACGCATTAGCTAGCACTAAACTAGAAACCAAAAATTCTTGTATTCCTTACACTAGTTTTCTTATACCTAGAAACCTAGTTTCATCCGCTTGGGACACTAGAATATTCGATAGAAAAATCTGCGCCATTCGTACGCATTTATTTTCTAGAGAAAGAACGTCACAGCTCCGTTATACCACCAAATAATAAATTCAGTTATGAGGTGTATTAATTGGATGGGCCGTGAAAGTTGGTGGTCGTTTTATTCAAGAGGCATAATTATCGTGTTTCATTTAGGCCGCGGTGCACCCCCGGGCTCGTGACTCGCGTCGGAGTTAATAACCATATAATATAGTCGGCAGCCCGGATAGACGCGTAATATAACTAATTTCCGTGTCGCGATTAAAACTCGTTATAAATGGTCGTCGGGGAAAACTCGGAGGCTGTCACCATTACCGCTAAAAAAAGGAAAAAGAGATTCGCATTAAAACGCACTGAAATTTTGCAAAACGCCGGCGCGCTCATACACGACAAAAACAACTGGCGGACATATTATTTTATGAAGTTTTTATACCCCGTTTACGAACCGCTGCTCTTTGTGGTCTTTGAGTCTTACAAACATTGTGTAACCTAACGTCCGTACAAGCTTATTCCACCTCTGGGATCAAACTCAATAATCTCGGAAATTCATTTATGAAATTCACAAGTACCAAAGACTAATTTCCCTTCACACTTTTCAATGGCACCTAATTATACTCAATGATGCTCCGTGATTTACTGAAATTGCGAACATAATTATATGCCTTACCATTCACACCGAACACAACACAAAAGTAAATTGTGTTCATTTCGACAATGGACGGTTTGCAGATAGTTTTTAATATCGGTTAATTGATACCAACATTAAACAGGTAATAACAGAGAACACGATCACGCCAGAATTCGCTAATTAATGAGTAATTACTCAACAGACCGAATAATTGATTTAACTTTTAATTTTCAAACAAAACTTCTCTGAATCGCCCAGTAAGAACACGTAGAATAAATCTGTGCCATGAAACAAGACGCGACGAGTCCATCTGTTTCTAAAATTAAATAAAGGGATCGTAGTTAATACATTTTTAATGAGCTGTAATAATTACACAACAAATTACTTGTCTCAGCAGAGCGAGATCTGCGGAGTAAATCTGGTCGGTAATGGCGCGCGGTGGCACCTGAGCCTGTGGCGGCCGCCTCGCTAATTTCCTAAAGCACAATATAAATTACCGCCTGAAAACAATGACGACCGCGCTAAACTCACGCTGCCCGCTTGCACTGCCCAAATTATAATGTACACGCTAAAAGGATTGTTAGCTTTATATATATTTTATAAATTATCTCAAGCGACTACAACAAATTAAGAGAAGTGCTCTCTACTTTTAAAAATTATATCTTGAAGTAAACCACTCCGCAGACTAAATGGTTTAAGATTTATTCTTAATGCCGTTGACACAAAGGTTGTAGGCAACAGGAGGATTATAACTTTGCATAATCTTTGGACTTTCAGTTGGGGATGCTTCGATTTATGTCGAGTCAGCCAGTTAATTATTTCCCACGGACAATGAATTGCTGAACTCCATTCATTATCTTGAAATGAATCGACATTTTTTTCGGCATTTTGATTTTCAGCTGATCTTGAGGAGATACAAGGCTTGTTATTTAGTCGTTTGTATGGGGACATTGTTAGGTAAGGAAGCTAAAATATACTACATAGAGGAGATTTTTTATTAAAAGTGCAATAACGAAATGGAACTGTACCACATTCTGACTAAATAAGACACCATATAGTGAGTGCACTTATTTACTGTAAGTACTTAGAAGTTGTGCGTCCGCTTGGTACGAATAAGTTTTCTATTCTGTTAACATTTTGGCAACACGCCTAAGCTATTTGCAAAACATATTAAACATCTCTATTCGACATTAACAAATGGTTTCTCATAACATGGCGTTGGTGGCTCCGTAGTACAAGGGTACAATAAAACACTATGTACGAAAGTGCTGACTTTATGGCCATAAATGTAAGCAACGCGCTTACTTATTCACATCACCTAGCCGTGCACAATTGGAAACTGGTAGGTATAGGTAAAGGTGTGCCGACATAAAATACTATGTACCTCTATGTGCACTACGTATGTAGAGGTACAGCTGCAATACTGCCACGAATGCTGTTATTCATGCCCAGAATAAATCAGCTCTAACCTTACAGTAATGCATCGCGTAAACAAACATACTACTGCATATAGCCAATGCAGTAAAAGTAAAGAATAAAATAAAAATAACTTCATAAGCAACTTTGAAACAAAGTGATAGTTAGAGCCTCACAGTGCATGTGTTCTTTCTCGCGCTAACTACAGCGCCACGGGCACAGACCATTGCGTTCACTTGGAATTTTTAATTACGTGTACATTTTCTTATTACTTTATTTGTAGCTACTTTTATTAGATGAGGAAAACCAATGAAAAGCACTATATTCAAATGAATTACATACGAGTGTAGCTATTTTATTGGAATAACCGATTGGCTGAGAACAGGGCGCCTGTTTAAATGCGTGACCCGTCATTAGGCACGCGACCGGAGTGCTCCGGGATCATTCAAGTAGGTACGCGCTCGATGGCCTCGTATAATCGACCTGTTAACGTTTCGTCGTACATACTACCCAGTACCTACCCAACCCTGTTTGCCGTCATTTATTTTTACTGCTTACTAGGCGGAATTCTGTCCGAGAAGGCGACAGGGACAGCGCAGATCGATCGTTGCTATCTCCCGGCTATACTAAATATACGAGCTGTGATGTCATAGATATCAAAGGCAGAATTATTCATTTTATAGCTTGCCAGCTACCACGTTTAATTGCGTTAGTAGCTCCGACGTCGCGTAAGACAAACAAGATCAGTATTATACCATGATATTTAGCACGGAGCGGTAATAAGCCCTCACGCTCTAAGCGAGTTATCATGTCGAATGTCAAACGTATTTTTTGTCGGTGACAAGACGACGAAAGCCGACGATAGAAAAACAGTGATTTGTGGCGGTTGGTGGCGGTAGTGTACACAATGTACTAAGTGATGATTAAATTGCTCGAAAAGGCTATGTTACGAAAAAGAACTGATTACGGGAGTATTACTCTTCGAAGAAAACCAAGATAAAATGTGGAAAAATATTTCGGTATCAAATCCTCCACTACAACACAACATAATATGTAGACACAATATAGTAGGTGGGTACGTTATTTACAGACCATCTCATTTTGTACAATGTAATGTTTCGGTATACATAGAATACTATACGTACTCACTCAAGCTGAGGCACGAGTCAATCCAAGCTTACCTGAAATGAAAGAAAATACAATGAAAATGTATAACAAAGGAGAACATAATCCTATCTATATATATAGGAAAATCATCGTTCAATATCTTCACAGAAATACAAAAGCCGATTAAAAAGGGACAGAATTTGATTTCCAAATCTTTAAAATTAAGTCACGACTTAACTGCAAACTCGGTTAAATTGTGCAAAATCAATACAGCTAGAACAAATGAACAGCGTCTAATGAGTAGACACTGTACAACAGTTTTCACAGACGAGGCCTTGTGTAAGAAGAAAAATAAACAAGGTATTTTGTATCCAATGCCTACGTAAATAAGAGCAAAGGCAGTTACTGATCTAACGTACAAATACACTTAAAAGAAAAACCTAAACTAGAAGCTGGCCGCTGTAGATTGTAGACAGCCCGTATCCCCTTTAGGAGCCGTCTCATTGACTGGGGTCACCTTTACGTCTGAGCTTTAAGGCCCAGCTCTAACTCAAGCCAGTTCTTCAAAACACTTCGGCAAACATTTGTAATTTCGTTCATACACTAGGTAATACGTATTATTCAATGTAAATAAGTTTCTGAGCACAACCACTTAAGTGCTCAGCGGGCTTAAGAAGGGTTTTGGAGATACGAGTCTCTTAGGGTACATAGTATATGATGATTTTATACAAAAATTTTCAACCAAGGAAAGGATTTGGCTGTTGTATCCTGAGGCCTCCCGAGAACAGCTATAAACCCTAACATAACCCGTCCTACTTATACAATAGTTACATAAGTATATAGTACATAGTATGCAAGTGCAATATTATCCAGGAACTTAGAAATTGTATACACAAGTATAATGTATAGTTCGGAATGTTAGCTTACGAATACTTCAGCCGATTGGCTAACTTTGGCTTGTAATACAAAGAGAGGCCTTTTATAATACATTTTTTATGGACAAAAGATGTTTAGGAAGGCACTTTACGAATGTTTAGGGTTAGTAAAAAGAAAATATTGGAGTTATGGAATATGTCGACCAGAATATTTGGACCTTTGTAGGTACTTTACGAACGCAATGGAGATATTATTGTACACCTCCCACTAATATCATGAAAGTTATGAATAATAGATAAGTTAGGTATTGAAAATAAAGGTCTTTTTATCTATTTTCGTGAACATATTTCTCTTTGTTCTGACTTAACAATATTTATTTTAAGTTTTATTCGAAAACAAGGGTGGCTTGTTGGTCAGGAAGTAAACAGAAAATCGTAATCGTTACCAGTTAAAACAAAGAAGTAGGTATATATAACCTTGGCTTCGACAATATACACTTTTCCTATAACAAAAAATGAACATCGAAAACATTATCATATTTAACATTCTACGAAACATCGCAGCGTTTCAAATAACAACATAAAAAACTTGGAAAATAAAACTAAGCTCCGATTCGATATTTTCTGTTAAACCAATAATTGTTAGGGGACTCGAAATAAGAGGTTGTTTTAAGAGCCTACTCCTCGTAATACTATTATTCAAACATTGTACGTAGCTTTTAAGTGGTTACTCTTTATTTATGGATCTGGCAACAAAACATGATAATAAATTACGTGCGGTGAAAGCTTTTGA